GTGCGGAGGGGAGCTCCTCGGTACAGACTCGTCTTAAGGCCAGACTCGTATAGCGGACTCTCCAGCCCCCTTGGGTTCAGCCTCGCACCCAGGGCTGGAGTCAACGACCAAGGAGCACTTTCGATCTAAGAGACGGTCACTATCAGTAGTCTGCTGCCATATGAGCTCGTTCAAGTCACACGGCATACTGCGTAGCAGACTCGCTGCCCTGGAGTTTTAATGGCTGCATCAGGAACAAAGTTGTGTCTGCCACCCGGGTGCAGGGGGCAGGGGTGGGGAACTGCCAGGGGGCCCCGCTGCTGGGGCTCCACGCATCTCGCTCAGGGTGGCCTCCAGCTCCCGCAGCGTCTCCTCCAGGCTGTCCACGCGCTGCAGGGCGATGCCCCGCGCTGTGTGCCCCCGGCCAGCCGCCGCATCATGTCCACAGTCCTTGGGGTTTTCCTCTGGGAGAGCCCCAGCGGAGGAAGGCTCCTGAGCCCCCTCGGGGGCGGGTCCCTGGTGACACAGGACCCCGGCTCCTGCACCTGCTGGGCTGCAGCCCCCTCCTGCTGCCCCTTCCTTCTTGGGCATGGAGGTGCTCTCAGGCCGGGAAGCCCCTGCCACTAGCCCTGGCCAGGCCTGTGGGCCAATCCAGCCCTGCCCCCTGCCAGCCAGGGTCCGAGGTCGCGGGGTCGGGGCTGTCCTGGGGTCCAGCTCCTCAGGCCTGGCTTCTGGCGGGGAGGGAGTGCTGGGGGCACACTCCGTCAAGGTGATCCGAGGGACACGGAGGGCCCTGGGTCCTGTGGCAGCCTGGGAGGAGAAGGAAGACGAGGAAGCGTGGGGTCTCCACCCACCACACCCGCGCTGGAGGGGGGTTGGAGACAAGTGAGCCCAGCCCCTTCCTCCCACGGATGGGGACACTGAGGCAGCCCAGGAAGTCCCGGGCAAAGAATCTGGATCTAGAACTGCAGACCTCAGGGTGCCGGGCGTCATGGCGCAGCCGGTTAAGCCACAGCTTGGGACTTGGGACACGGCACCAACATGTCCTACTGGAGCACTGCTTCTAATCCTGGCTATGCTGTTTCTGAGCCAGTTTCCTGCTAATGCACCTGGGAAGGCAGTGAGTGATGGCCCAGGTGCCTGGATCCCTGCCCCCCACGTGGCAGCTTCTGGCTTCAGCCTGGCCCAGCCCCGGCTGTTGCAGGCATCTGGGGAGCGAATCAGTGGATGGAAACATGCTCTCTCACTCGCTCGTCTGTCTCTCCTCCTCTCTCTGTTGTCCTGTGTTTTTAATATTTGGTTATTTGAGAGGTAGAATTATAGAGAGAGAGGGAGGGAGAAACAGAGAGAGAGAGGTCTTCTGGGGCCTGTGCTGTGGCTCAGCGGGTTAACACCCTGGCCTGAAGCACCGGCATCCCACATGGGAGCTGGTTCTAGTCCCAGCTGCTCCACTTCCCATCCAGCTCTCTGCTATGGCCTGTGCTAGCAGTAGAAGATGGCCCAAATCCTTGGTCCCTGCACCCACGTGGGAGACTGGGAAGAGGCTCCAGGCTCCTGGCTTTGGATTGGCACAGCTCCAGCCATTACAGCCACCTGGGGAGTGAACCAGTGTATGAAAGACCTCTCTCTCTCTCTCTCTCTCTCTCTGCCTCTCCTCTCTGTGTAACTCTGACTCAACTTAATAAATAAATCTGTAGGCCGGCGCCATGGCTCACTAGGCTAATCCTCCGCCTGCAGCACTGGCACCCCAGGTTCTAGTCCCAGTCGGGGCGCCGGATTCTGTCCTGGTTGCCCCTCTTCCAGGCCAGCTCTCTGCTGTGGCCCGGGAGGGCAGTGGACGATGGTCCAAGTACTTGGGCCCTGCACCCCATGGGAGACCAGGAGAAGCACCTGGCTCTTGACTTTGGATCAGTGCGGTGCGCCGGCCACAGCACGCGGGCCACGGCAGCCATTGGAGGGTGAACCAACGGCAAAGGAAGACCTTTCTCTCTCTCTCTCTCTCTCTCACTGTCCACTCTGCCTGTCAAAATAAATAAATAAATCTTTAAAAAAGAGAGAGAGAGAGAGGTCTTTAATCCACTGGTTCACTCCCCAAATGACCGCAACAGCCAGAGCTGGGCCGATCCAAAGCCAGGAGCCAGGAACTTCTTCCAGGTCTCCCTCGCGAGCGCAGGGGCCTAAGCACTTGGGCCATCCTCTACTGCTTTCCCAGGGCATAGCAGAGAGCTGGATCGGAAGAGGAGCTATATGGGATGTTGGTACCACAGGTGGAAGCCTAGCTCACTCCACCACAGCGCTGGCCCCCCTGCCTTTCAAATAAACAAATAAATCTTTGCAGTATTTCCTTCCAGGCCTCCTACTTCCCTCAAAAGCACACACAGGCGTTGGTTTCTCATCGCTCACATTAATCAGGGGGCAGGTCTCAGGGCTACCCCTAGATCTGCCCATCTGTGCAGTGGGAGGTCGACAGTGTGGGCTGGTGGAGAGTTAAATGAGCTCACACGGGCAGCTGCTCAATCAGTGCCTGGCACGGTGTGGGTGCCCCGCACACGTCCTGCGTGGGCAGGGCCCAGATGTCGGCCTCTCCGGGTGGGACCGCCACCCCCATCTCAAGCCTAGGATTCCTCGGCCCTGCCCCATCTTTCCAGCTGCCTCCAATGGCTTCACAGCCAGCAGGGGAGGGGCCTGGCCTCCACGGAGCTGCTTGGCTGCACCGTTGCCGGCAGGCAGAGCGCTGTGAGCACCGAGCAGCCCCGCCTCCAGCCCCAGCTCGAGCGAACCCCAGCACTGGCGTACGTCTTTGTCTTTAGCTCTGCTGGAAAGCCACGAATGACCCACTCTCACCGACCTCACCTAACGGGCGAGGGCGCCCAGGGTGGAGGAGGTCAGGGGCTCACCCACAGTCTCTGGCTCCCAGCTAATTAGTGGCAGAGCCAGGATTTGAACCCAGACAGTCAGACTCCAAGTCTAGTGCTCTTGCCACTAAAAAGGAGCCAGGGACAGATGCACGGGGGAGAGCAGGGACCCCAGCCACCCCCTCCCAAGGCAACCTGCCCAGCCTTGCACCTGCTTACCTGGCAGTGGGGGATGCAGACTAGGAGCCCGGGCGGGCGCCCCATGCTCGCCTGGCTCCGTGGCCTGACTGCGCCTCGGGATGCAGAGGGTTGGTCAGGCCCCCAAGTCCAGACGGGGGCCGGCTCCCAGAGCCAGACAGGGCCAGGGACGGGGCGCCCGGCGCATAAGCAGCCCAGGGGGTGCCCCTTCCACGGGGCTCCTCCCCAGAGGGCTCCTCAGACGTCTCTGTGCTGCCCCCTGCCCAGCAGACTGCACTGCACCCCCTACCCCCACCCCACCAGGGCACCACCAGGCCTCCAGCCAGGCCGGAAATCAGGTGGCGGTCAGTGTGCAGCCCCCTGAGGGCCAGGAGAACCGGACACAGCAGGTGAGGGTGTGTGCGCAGGGGTGGGGGGTGCCCTGCTTGGAGCAGAGGCAGAGGCTCTCCTGCCCCATCCCGGCCTCTCCCCAGCCTCCTCCCCAGGACCCAAGCACAGTCCGCAGCGGGGGCAGATAGCAGGCCCACCCCCAAATTCCCAAGGAAAAACCAAGAGGAAATCAGTGCAGCAAGACAGCAGCAAGGAGTGAAGTTAGAGATAAGGAAGAACTTCCCAGTGCTGACAAACAGAACCAGCAGCCAAGGAGAGGCTTGGCTTCTTTATTCCAAGCTCCCTGACCAGGGGGCAAGATGGGTGGGGGAGGCTGCAGATGAGCAGCCCCCATCCTGGGGCGGGGCGTCGTAGTCCCCAGTGCAAGGCGGAGATGCCAGTGGGACGATGGCACCAGAACAAAGTCAGACTTTGAGTTGGACCCCAAGGCAGCTTGTGAGCCAGATCCAAACCTCGACCTTGGCCGACACTCGGGCTTGGGCCAGACCCAAACCAAGGCCGCAGACTAAATCCCAGCCAGACCAGGATTCACATCTGTGGGATAAGGCAGACGCAAGGGGTCGCCAGATGCCCAGGCTGCTGACGCGTCCAGGAAAGCCCACCTGGGAGGCGCCGGGAAGGCGGGCTGTGCCCCAGGTGCAGGAGGGGTGAGTCCGCGTGAGTCCCGCAGGGCAGTGCGGGCCTGGGGCGTGGCTGGTGCCGTGGCGGGTTAGCGTGAGAGGTGAGGTGGCGCAGGCAGAGAGAGAGAGCCGTGAGAGGTGGGCAGCCCCGTTACCTTCCGTGTGGGGCCCGGGGCTGAGCCCCCGGGGGGCCCCAGGTCCTGGGGGGACAGCAGGATGGGGATCGGCTGGCGGCGGGGCGTGGGGGGGAGGGAAGACACTGAGCTTCTCTCAAACACCTGGGGAGCAGAGGTGGGGGCAGGCTTGGAGGAGGGGGCGCCAGGAGGACAAGGGTGCTGGCCGACAGGGGTTGGGGGGTGGCCCTCACCATGGCCACCGGCCGGCTCTGCCCCCAACCTTGTCTCCTGCTCCGGGGGCCCTGGTGTTGCCGGCGCGCACTCTGGGCCGGGTGCTGAGAGGGCTCCCGAGGGGTGGCCCTCTGCGAGGGTCTCCCAGCCCTCGGTCTGCAGAGCGCTCAGGCCAGGGGGTCTCGAGCACTGGCATTCAGTGACTTTGGAATATCTGGGTCCAGGGCTTTCGGGGTCAGGTGGTCTGAGGGGGGCACATGGTAGGGGTCTCGGCCACTGTGCTAAAGAAACCGACCTGCAAGCAGAGCTGTGGGACCCCTGCCCCAGGCAAGCCTGTGCCTCAGGGCCGGCCCTACCTGACCCACCTCCAGCTCCGCGATGATGCGGTCCTCATCGTCCTCATCCTTGATGGCGGACGCCATGATGGGCGGCGTGGAGGCCGGGCGGGCCACCTCCGACACGGCCCGACGCAGCTTCACCTGCGGCTTCTGCACCTCCAGCTCCTCGGACTCCGCCTTCTGCCGGGCAGGACGCCCCCGTCACACCCAGGCTCAGCCCCTCCCACATCCAGGCCCCATGAGATGAGGGCTAGGTCCTCTCCCACTGACCCCGCCTTCTCATGGCCTGCCCCCAGGACGTCCCCAACAGGAAGGAGCAAGGACGCCAAGCCAGGAGCCCAGAGACCCCCGGCCACCCCTGTTGCCCCCATTGCCTCTCTCCCACTCCAGGGAGAGTCCCCTCGGGCTCCCCCCACCCCCGGCGCCAGCCCCGGCAGGACCGTACCTTGATGAAAGCCGAGTCCTTCTTGCTGGTGACCACCACCTCCCCGGTGCGGGTGGTGGTCAGGCCGTGGGAGGAGGGGAAGCTGCGGCGGGGAGGGGGCGGCGGGGGCGACTTGGAGGGCTTCTCAGTGCGGTATCTGGGCACTGTCAGCTCATCTGCAGGCAGCCAAGGGGGCGGGGTCGGGGCCTGCAGCCTGGGAATCAGCCCACTGCACCTGACCTTGAGGCCAACCCCTGCTTCCTCCTCCAGGGAGGACCAGAGGGACACCTAGAAGACAGGACACGCCCCCGCCCCAGCCCTGCCACCCCTCCCTCCTGCAGTCTACCCTCCTGCTGCTCCAAGTGTGGGTGCTTAGAATGCAGCCCAGGCCCCACCCTGCACTGTGAACCCTGAACCCACCCCTGACCAAGTTCAAGTTCGAGACTTCCCTGGCTGCTCCTTCCTGCCCATCTGGCCTGCCTGGCCCCCAACTTCCGCCTTTTCCCAGGGAAAGAGCTAGGCTCTCTCTTCTTCCCATTCCTCTTCCAGCCCCGTTCCCAGGGCAACCTGCAGAAAGGCCAGTCCAACTGTGACACTCTCCTGCCTCTGATCCTCCTGGGATGCCCCATCACCTGGAACCACACCCTCTGTACCTGCCAATCTTTCAGCCTCAGCTCAGCTCGCCACGCCCTGCTCGGGTACCACACACACCTCCTTGGCCATGCATGTGCTGGCCTTGCCCTGGAATGTCCTCTCAATGTCGGGGGACGTCCCTGCTGCTTTTCAAGAAAGCCCCCCCCCAACTCTGGGGAGCCCTCCTGCCTTCCCTTGAGGTCTGCACACTCGAGGGTGCCCTCTACCAGCACCTAGGCAGGCGCTGCATTAGCTCTCTGGCCTGCGACAGGTGACTTAACCATTTTGAGCCTGGGTGTCCTAGCTGTAAAATGGGACAGTTAACATCCCTGTCCCCCAACCAGCTTTGTCGTGAAATGATACAGATGATCACACAGAAGGCATCTGGGACGTGCCTACCCCACAGGAAGTGAGTGAGAATCATAAGGCTCAGCATTACCTCCCCCCCACCCCACCCCCCACACACACTGGGCTGCTTGGAAGTCAGCCCCAACTCACCTCCCCGTCCCCAGCACCTGGCACACAGTAGGTGCTTAGCAAGTATGCACTGCAGGCACATGTGAGTGACGGCCGCCACGGCCTTGAACACAGGGCTCACTGCTTTGAACACAGGGCTCACAGGCACTGCAGGCAGCTCCCGGCGCAGCCTGGCCCTTGGCACGGCCCTGGCTCTGCTCACCCTTCCTGTGTGGCCCTCTCAGTGTCTCTCGGGGACAGCAGGGATACCCTGGATGAGTCCAGCGCACCTGTGCTTCTGGGCCCGGCTCCCATCAGCGCGCCGTGGGCTGGGCTGTGGGAGACCCAGCGCCTCTCTTCTCCGGCAGCCCAGCCACCAGAGTCTCACCCGGTGTTGCCTCCCCTGCCAGCCTGGCAGCTCCTGGGGGTCAGGCTCCCCAACTCTGGGCTCTCCCCTTGCCCCAACAACTCCCCATACCTGAGCCCCTCCTCCCGCTGGGCTCCGCTCGGGGTGCTGCCTTCTGGCCGTGGGGAGCTTTGGGGGGCTTGTGGTCCGGGGTCGGGGCCGGGCTGGGGTGGGCCTTGCTGGCGCAGTCCAGGTCCGGGATGGCCTTGAGCAGCTCGGCCTGCGTCTCCTCCAGCAGCCGGTTGATGTCCTTGGCGCTGTACTGGGTCAGGGCTGCCCGCTTCTCCTCCCAGTCTCTCTCGGCAGCCTGGAGAGGAGGGGCTGACTCAGGACTGAGGACCTGCATGGGGCCCTCGTCCAGGGTCTCCACCCATTCCCCCAGCCACACATCCTGGGCACTGACCCAGCAGCCCCCAGGCCCCTCGGCCTTACCCTTCTTGGGTACTGCACACTACACCCAGGGTCAGGGGGCCACTTTCAGGATACACCAGCTGCCTAATGGCGGCCTGCTTCTGGGTGCTGACCACACAGTCTACGCTTAACTAACGCCACACTGTTTTCCTGATGGTAGCTTTGTAATATGCTTTCTGTGGGGCAGACCTCGCGGCACCCTCATTATACCTCCCAGACTTCCCTTAGGGGCCAGAGCCTCCTCCCATAAGAAGAGAGACCCACACATTTAGCACACCCCAGGAATGCGGGGACCCCGTCCTGCGCCCACCCCAGTCCCGGGCCCAGCACCTCCACAGACACAGCCTTGTCCACGCTCCTCCTGCCAGGGGTCTCCAGGCCCTTGGCGGGGTTGCTCGCCTTGGGGGTGAGGGGAGCGCCCTCGGCCGGTCCGCTCAGCTCGTGCAGGTTCAGCGGGGGACTAGGGGGTGGCATTTCGAAGTCCAAGGCCTTGTTGAAGTCCGTCTCAGCCGTCACCTTCTTGGGAGACTGATTCAGGAGGTTGTTGGGGGGTGGCCACACACCCTCGTCCACTTGCCTGGGGCCGGAGTCAGGAGCAGTGGTGAGGCCAGTAGGCTGCCCCTCGGAGAGAGCCTGCCTGGGGCTGTGTGTATGTGTGTGGAGGGGTGAGCTCTTGCAGGAGAGCCTGGGAAGAAGTGACTACACCCAGCGTCTGGGTCACAGGTCAGGGGTCACAGGTCATGCGAGGGGTCACAGGTCAGGGCTGAGGGACAGAGCCAGCCGGCACAGTGGTGGCTTTCACAAGCACTGTAAGGGTTCAGGGCGCCCTGGGCGGAGCGTGCGCCCCCGTGGGAAGCCAGCGGCCCGGGAGACACTGACCTCCGGATCTGGGCCAGCGTGTCGGTGACCCCGCGGCAGCGCTTGAGGAGCCCGTCCAGGCGCTGGGGCTCCTCCTTCAGGAACTTCACCGCCTCCACCTCCACGCGCAGCACCACCCGCATCTTGCTCTGCAGGCCCGGGAAGTGAGCTGCGGGATGGGGCGGGACGGCAGGGGGTCAGGGCGGGGACTGGGAGCACAGGGTTGGGGGAGGGCAGCAGAGGCTCCCGCCTGGCCCACCGCCCCGCCCCGCCGCTGGCCCGGGCTCACCCTTGAGCTCCGTCAGCGTCTCCCCGAGCTGCTTCAGCACCAGCGCCTTCTCCTCCAGCTCGGGGCCGGGCACCAGCCGGTGGCTGTGGGCCATGTCCCTTTGGATCTTCTCCACCGACTTCTCCAGGTCACTGCAGCCACAGAGAGACCCGCTCAGCCCCTCCGGCCCCGGCCCAGCCCCCTGAGCTTTGGGCAGCTGGAAAGAAGTCAGGCCACCAGTCAGATCAAAATGAAGCCATCCACCAAGCCACGTGCCCAAGTGGAATCCGAGACGCCCGATCTCAGAGACACGGGGCACTCTGAAGAGGGCGCGGTTGGAAGACTCGGTCCTCGGCGTCATCAGCCCCATGCCCCCATGCCGGAGCTTGCGGCCTTTGGTTCTCATTCTGCAAGGGAGCCGCAGAGGCCCTGGCAGCCTTTCAGAGGGCTGGAGCCGGCCGCGGCCGCCCCGGGGGTCTCAGGTCCGGAGACCACCGCCACGCCCCGCTGCCTTCCCTTCCGTGGTCCAGGCTCTCAGATTCTTGGCAGGTTTATGCTGAGCGGCACATCTATCTAAACCATCAATCAGACCAGGGCCCCGCCCACTGTGCTGAGCCCTCACTGGATCCCATTTTAGGGCTAAAATTCCAAACTTAGGGCAGCCAAGGCCAAGAGGGCAGCCTTTGAAAACTCGGCTCTAAGCCAGCTCCGATCCAGCTCTGCCCTCCCCAGCACAGAGATCTTGGGCAAGTTACCCAATATGTCTGGGCCTCAACCTCAAAAAAAAAGGTGGGGGGATGGCAAGAGCTCCTGGCTCCTGGGACCGCAAGGGCGATTCCGTGGTAACGCTGCCGGGAAAGCCGGCGGCAGCGCTCAGCCCGGGAGCCTGCCTGATGTTCCCCCCAGGTGAGGCCCCTACCCCCACCTGGCTTGCATCTGAGGTTCTGGCTGCCAGCCTTCTCTGGCCCTTTACAACCTCAACGGGAAGCTCTCCCTCAGCCCCTCCCCTGGGCTAGGGGTTGGGGTCTACTTCTTGCCTCCCTCAAGTCCCCGGCGATCCCGTCCACTGAGTTGTGCCGAGTTCTGGATCACCAGCTCCAGGCAGGCAAGGATTATGCCTTCCAGATCCATCTCCGAGTCCCAGCACCTGGCATGGGGCCTGGTACGGAGCGGACGCCTGGTGAGTAGTTGTGGAATGAATGAGGGAAAGCAGGCATTATGTCCGGGTAGGTCCTCCCAGCTCTGCACTGGAGTCGGCGCCATCGCTGACCCACGTGCGCGACATACAAACGTTCCCGTCAACTCCCACCTGCCGGGTCTCAGCTCAGCGGTCCCGGCGCAAGCTGCTGTTGGGTCTAGCTCTACCATCGGACAGACGTGCTCCCCTTGAAGCCCCGTGTCGTGAGCAGATCTTATCGCATGCCTTACACAGCGTCATCCAACTAGCGGGAGGACACAGCCCGAGCCGAGCCGGAGCCAGCGGGGTCCCGTGACTCAGCACTTGCAGGGAAATCGCGATCTCGCCCGAGTCCCTGCTGTGCGCCAGAGGCCGCGCCAGCCCTTGCCTTTCAGTCCCTCACCTAAACCTCAAAACAAAACCTGGAGGTGGGAGCCCTGATCACCTCGGGTTTACACGTGCACAGTGTCCCCACTAGACGGCATTTCCCAGCCTCCCTTGCAGCCATCAGCGGCCACCCGACTGAGGTCTACCCGGCAGAATTCGAGTGGAAGGGGTACGTTCCACTTCCATGCCTGGCCCATAAACACCTCCTGGGTGAGCTCCTCTGTCCCCGCTCCCCGTTCTGGGTGCTCAGAAAGGGGGCAACCCTCTGGTGACCTCGAAAGGCATGTGTTAAAGATTGCAGGAGCTGGGGCCAGTAGGTTAATCCTCCAACTGTGGTGCCAGCATCCCATATGGGCGCTGGTTCTAGTCCTGGCTGCTCCTCTCCCAATCTGTCTCTCTGCTATGGCCTGGGAAAGCAGTAGAATATGGCTCACGTACTTGGGCCCCTGCACCCGTGTGGGAGACCAGGAAGAAGCTCCTGGCTCCTGGCTCCTGGCTTGGATTGGCACAGCTCCGGCCATTGCAGCCATTTGGGGAGTGAACCAGCGGATGGAAGACCTTTCTCTCTCTCTCCCTCTCACTGTTTGTGACTCTAGCTCTCAAATAAATTCTTAAAAAAAAAAAAAGATTGCAGACGCTCCATCAGCCTGGGGCCCTGAGCCACTGCATGGAGCCACCTTGCTAGGCCACTCAATGCTGAACCTGGGACTTCTCAGCCACCACACTATTTAAGGGCTTCTTTATTATAACAGCTACTCCAATTAATTAGTTAATTAATTCGCTTTGGCATTTAAAAAAGGGTGTTGGGGGAGTCTCAGAGATCAGCTAGTCCAGGGTCAAACAACTATTCTGTAGCAAAGCGGGCTCTTTCACGCTGGCCTCAGCCACTGGTTCTGCTGCACCTCACGTGTGCACGAGGCACACGGGATTAGCGCCTCCCATGAGCCCCAGCAGCTGTCCCACCCCAGGCCTTGCTCCGCTTGTGTGTGGCACCCGGCTGGCTCAGGCCACGCCCCTTTCGTAAAACAGTGGCTCCAGACACAAATCTGAGGACTCAGGACGGCCTTCAGGAAGACCCAACCCTGCACCTCTCGGTGGGAGGGCGGGGCCCCGGGACTAAATCACAGTCTGCAAGCGTGACCGAGGCCAGCCTCCGTAGACGCCAGTGCAGGAAGTGGCTGGGTGCTCCCCAGACCTCGGTTTGACCCTGGAGTTGCTGCGACAGGAGGGCCAGAACAGAGGCAGTTGGGTCACCAGTGGGGCCCAGGGCAAAACGAAAATTTTGCCTCTTGTTCAGAAACTATGAAGAATTTCAAGGCAGCAACGGTAGGGCGTTAAACCAAGCATGGGGCCTATCTGAAGCGGGTCCTACTGGGCTGACCCTGGGTTAGGCTAAGGCAGGCTCCGGTCAGCAGGGGCTGCCCCTAAGGCCGGTGTCCAGGCAGAGCTCAGGGCTGACAGGTGCGTGGATGCAGCTGTAGGAAACAGCGCAGGCCGCAGCTTCCAGCGAGACTCGAGCAGAGGGGAAGGGGTGGGTCTGCGGGAGGGACACCGGGCTGCAGCCAGAGCGGGGTTAGCGGGATCCAGGATGACCCAGGGAGCTGCAGGAGCTGGTCCAGGGCCTCCATAGGCGGGCCACGGCCACTGCAGGGCAGGGACCACCCATTTAGAAGACCCATTCCAGGACGGAGAATCCTGCCTAAAGCAATGTTTCAGGTCCCCAACGTTCTGAAGTGCACGGTCTGAGTAACGGGTTCCGTAGTGGAGTTTGGGGTGGGGAATCTGTGTGTTCCTGGAGAACCGAAGCCCCCAGGAGGCCAAGGACCAGACACCCTTGACCGCCTATCATCTCTTCACCTCTGTGCTTCCGTATTTCTGTTAATGTCGCAATAAAGGTCCCTTGGGACATCCCGACCCAGCTCCTCCAAGCTGAGTGGGAAAGGACAGGAAGCCACGGGTGAGGGGGGACAGCAGCCACCTGTCTGCCTGCAGACCCGGCTGCATTGGTCCCTAAGCCCCTCACTTCATCTCGGCCGTTCATGCCCTGTGCCTTGCTGGCACCCGTGTGTCCCACCATGAGGAGCAGCCCCTTGCCTGGTGCAGATGTGGCTCCTATGGGCAGCCCTGTCCCCGGCTGCACCGAGGACAGAGCAGGGCTTGTGCTCCAGGCTCCAACAAATCGGGGGAAGCCGCAGTGGGATAGGAGGGTTGCTCCCCACTGGACAGGGACAGGCAGCCTCTCCCTTCAAAGGTGCCAGACAACAACGGGGCTGTGGCCAGATAGCTCTGGGCTAAATTTGGCCCAGAAGCCTGTCTTCTGTTAACCCTTTCCCGGCTGCGCAGCGGACGGCCGTGTGCTGTCTAGTCCTCCCTCCTGCTGAAAACATCAGCCGCAGCTTTCAGCCACTCGAGCACAAGAGGAGGGTGCTCCTAGTCTCAGGCATCAGTGAACGGGAGTGGTGGCAGAGGTGGCTGCCAGCAACCAAGCCGGAACGGCCGCAAAACCCTGATGGCTTCACCTGCACGCTCTACTCCCGAGGGGTCAGTTTGCACTGCACACAGACCACCGGGAAAAGAGCCGGGGGCAGGGGGCAAACCCGCAGCTGGGTGCGTGGGAGTGAGGCTGCAGGCCCCGGGAAGCACAGCCTGCATCACTGGGAGGCAAGACCAGGGCCAGAAAACAAGAAACCAGGAGTCACGCCACCAAAGGTCTGTGGGTCCGAGAACTCCGGCCACAGAGGAGGACGATAAAACAGAACAGGCCGACGTCACCTATGATTCAGAAGGAAGGGAGCTGCGCCTCGCAGGGGAAAGCAGGCTGCGGGCCACCCGGCCACCCCACCCCGCCGCCCGGGCCCAGCCTCACTTGAGCTGCTGGGTAATGAGCTCCTCGTCGTTGAGGTAGCGCAGCCGCTCCTCCTCCACCAGGGTGCGCTGCCGCTGCAGCGGGTCCTCCTGCCGCCGCGCCGCCTCTGACACGCGCATGCTCAGCTCCGCCTCCGTGCGCTTCAGCAGCGCGCGCACCGACTCTTGGTTCTGCAGCTGCGGGACGCGCGGACAAACGAGCGAATGGACCCGAGTGGCCGCGGGGGAGGGGCCAGGAGACGGCGGACACAGGCGGGGCGGGGCTCCCACCGAGGATGCGGCTGCTCGGCTTCGGCCTCCAGCAAGAGCGGACCGGCGGGATTTGGGGGGCAGCGGTGGGGATTTGGGGGTGCAGGGAGGGGTGTTACACGGGGCAGTACCGGAGGTGTGGCTGAGTGGCTCGAAGGCCAGGATGGTGGGGGCGGGGGACAAGGCTAAGTGCTGGGGAAACAGAGGCAGGAGGAGAAGGGATAAGAATATCGGGGGTGGGGTGCAGGAGGTGGTGCTGGGTGGGGCCCTGCTGCCTGGACGGCCGCATGCTGTGGCTCCCCGCAGCTCCGCACCGGGGCTCAAGCTCTGGGGCTGGGTCGGCAAGGGCAGGCTACTGACCCAACCCAGTGCCCTGCCCGAAGGGCGGGGCTGGGCAAGACCTTGCCCACTGCCCAGATGGCAACTCTCTACCCCCTCCCCAGCCTGTCTCTGCTCATTATCCTCACCTGACGGGCCCTGGGCCCCCTCGAGGAGCGGGCACCACGATGCCAGGCTCCTGACAGGTGGGACCATCTGCCAGGCGGGGCAGGGGAGCCTGCCCGGGTGCAGGAAGAGGAAGCTGGGGGGACGCGGGGGAAGGGCTCCAGCCCCACCGAGAGAAAGGGATGCAGGGCCTCGAGGGTGGACTGGGAAGGGGGCTTGGTAAGGGGGACCACGGAGAAGGCGGGGGACTGGCGAGGGAGAGAGAGTCCCAGGGAAGGGAAGGAGAGCAAGGTTCTGGAGAGAGACCAGTAAGCAGCGTGGGGGCGCCGTGGGGGAAGGAGGAGGCGGTAGGGGACAAGGCGGGACTTGGGAAGGGTCTGGGAAAGTAGGTGGAGCTTGGCAGGGAAGGGGCGGTACCTGGAGCATGCGCAACTGCTGAAGCTGGCCGCGCAGGTCGCTGGTGCTACTCTGCAGGCCACGCAGGTGCAGCTGCATCTGCAGGCGGTTGAGGGCCGTGGGCTGCCCTGCAGGGGTGCTGCTGGCCGGCGGCGCGGGAGGGCCGGACACCGGCGTGGCCCCGCTGCTCCGGCTGCCTGACCCGCAGGCTGCAGAGACCACAAGGGTGGGGAGCAAGGGAAGTCAATGAGGAAGCCTGGAGGGGCTGGGGCAGGGTTCTTGCTACGGGCTGCTCCACAGAGCAGCCAGAGAGACCCCGTTCTGACTCCCTGCCCCACGCGATGGCCAGCGGTCAGCCCTCACTGCGGGGAGCACCGCGCCAGTGCGCAGACATCTCGGGCTAAGGTGATCACGCGTTTGTCCACTGAAAACACAGGGACGTGGCTATTGTTTAACCCGCACTTCGCAGGTCAGGAAACAGAGGCCTGCGGGGGCCGAGGGAAGGGTCACTCACGGGCTGAGGGGGTGGCCGCTCCGTTGGAGCCGTCAATCTTCTCACTGTGGCCCGAGGGAAAAGATGGCTGTCAGGGGTACAGAGCCTCAAGGCTGGGTGGGACTCTGGATGCCATCTTGCCCGCCCCACCTCAGGATGGGGTCTCAGAGTGAGGCACGAGCAAAGCTGAGCCCAGGGCTCCCGATGCCCACCTCCCCTGCCTCCTACGCCAACCGCACTGGGAGAGAGGCTTCACCTGGGGGTCTCAGGCTCAGAGCCTCGAAGTAGGGCGCTCTGCACCAGGCCTGTGAGGCTGGCAATCTGCTTCTCCATGGCCTCCATGCGCTCCCTGGGGAGGAAGGCGGGCTGAACTCTGGGGTCGCTCCTGCCCAGTTCCCATCCGACTCCTACCTGGCCAGCCGTGCAGACAATGCCAAGGGCCCCGGTGCTGCAGGATCAACCTCCAGCCCCCGTGCCTCTCCCACCACCGCCAGCCTGCAGGCCCCACCCCTCCCTCCAGTCTCCACCTGCCAGCCCTTCCTCACCTCCTCCTCTCTGAGGTCACCCCCACCATCCCCAGCAGCCTTAAGGACTTTCTCCTCCTGCTCCACCCAGAGGAAGAACAAGGACTTTGTAGACCTGCTAGACCAGGGCAGGTCTGCCCAACTCGGCCCGGGCAGTACCCGGTGCAGCGCCAGGCCCACGAGCTACAGCAGTGCTGCGTGAAGACCAGTGGCTCCCTTCACCTCTCAGCAGCGATGCCTGAGGGCAGAAATGACCTGCCCGGTTACCTCCTCCAGCCTGCAGCTGGCTTAGCCAGCGCAAGGCGCGGGGCTTCCTGCGGGTCTATTTCTTGGCCACACCCCTTTCCCCCGGACTTCAGCTGGCCCTGTGCTGGACAGCTCTCACGGCTGCAAATTCTGAGCCGGGAAGGTGCTACAGAGTTGACCCCTGGACTTTGGGAAAACCCGGCTTGGGTAAGGAAGGCAAACTCGGGTCTCCGAGTCCTCCTCTTCCCCTCCACGAGCCAGGGCACACCCCTGCCGCCAACGCTGCTGCCCCTCTTCCTCCACCCCACCCCCCACCATCCTGAGGCCTCGCGAGGGTCCCGCACCTGGTCTCCGTGTCCTTGGCTGGCACCGGCGGCCCGAACCCAACGAGGGAGCGCTCCCCGGGCCCGGGGAAGAGCTCCGGAGGGGGCGCTCCGGCCGTCGAAGCACTCCCCGCGCTGCGGGTCTTGCCTCCCGGACTCTCGGCGAAGACGGAGGAGCCCGAGTCTTTGCGGAAGGATTGACGCACCGGCGAGCCGCGGCTGGGCGGCCCCGAGTAGGGGCTGTGAGGCGGCGGGGGTCCCCCGGGCGGCGCCGCCACGTCGGCCAGCTTCTGCGGCGACGAGGGCGGCAGTCGGAAGCCGTAGCCGTCGCCGTAGAGCGGGCCGCCGCCGCCCGCCGCCTTGTACAGCGAGTCCTCCAGGTCGGACTGCAGCGCGGCGGCCGAGTAGGTGCTGAGCGAGCGCACCGAGCCGCGCTTGTACAGGCCGCCCGCGCCCGGGTAGGCGAACGGGTCGCCGGCGGCCGCGGCCAGGCTCAGGCGGCCCTCGTGCAGCAGCCCGTAGGGGTCGGCGTAGAGGCCCTCGCCCTTGACCAGCACCATGCCGCCCGCCTTGCCCGCCAGGTCCTCGTCCGGCTTCACGTCCCGCCGCTCCAGGATGGCGCTGGGGCTGGGGCTCACGCCCTGGGCCGCCGAGGCGCCCCCGAGCCGCTCGGCCGCGTGGTGCACCGGGCTGCCGGCGTACGAGGGCGGGCGCCCCCCGGCATACGAGAGGCGCGAGCGCGACGGCGAGCCCGACGGCAGCCCCGACGGCAGCCCGGGCGGCGGCGAGCCGGATGCCAGGTGCGGGGCCGGCGACAGGTTGTTGAGGCGCCGCGTGGGCGACGACTCCCGCGACGCGTAGGCCATCTCTCTCTGCGCAGAAGACAGCCCCGGAACCCCCACAGGGTTGGTCACAAAGGAGACCCCTCCCCCGTGGCTAAAGGGGCCAGCGTCTGCCCCCTGGAGCTAAGGAAGTCCCTTCTGTTCTCTGCCCACCCCCTCTCCCGCTGCACCTAGGGCTCCTTTCCCGTCATGGCTCCCAGCAGGGAGGGAAAAGTGGCAGATGGAGAGGCATCAGAGGGGCGATCCCCAGCCCACGCGACGGTGGCGCGGGGAAGGTGTGGCACCGGAAGGGAGCCTCAGAATAATGCGGGGCCCGCTGAGAAGTCCCCGCGCTTGGCACGGCCTGCGGGGGTAGATGGCCAGGGAGCGGGAGGCGCGCCCGCAGAACCCTATCGTCGGTGGAAGCCTCCGCCCCTGCGTTCCCTTCTTCGAAGCTGGCACACCTGCCGCCTCGTCCAGCCCATCTGCCCAGCCTGCCCCAGCCCTACGTACCCGGAGGTCGCCGTTGGTGAGGTGTGAGCCGGGGAAGGCGGCGTAGAGTGGCTCCTTCCTGTAGATCTTGATAATACTGCGGTCCTGGATGTCCCTGGCAGGCGAGATGTGCGAGGGTCACCAGGCAGTCCCCGGGGGCACAGCGAGGAGGGCGCGGCAGGAGGGACCCGAATCCCCGCCCCCTCCCAAGTCTCTTGCTGCCTGCCGCCAACGCCGTGCAGCCGCGCCCCCCAACCCCCCCAGCCACTAGCCATCCAGCCGCAGTGGATGATTTGGGGGGAGGGGCTGGGCGGCAAAGGGCTGGGTACGGCCCGGGAAGCAGCAGGGGCAGGGCCTGCAGGGTCACGCACAGCTGGGAGGAGGGGAGCCCGCCCCGTGCCCCCGGGCCACGCCCACCGGACGTCCTCCAGCTCGTAGAAGACGTTTCGAGCTTCGTCTTTGATGAGGATGGCGGTGTTGGGCGACTTAAGCATGCCCATGGTGAGCTTCTGCGGGAACATGTGCGCGATGAGGGCGTGCAGCGTGTCCAGGCTGCTGACCTCGTGCGTGATGTGCACGCGCCGAGTCTCCTCCCCAAACTGCAGGAACAGCACCCCTGCGAAGGAGACGCTGCCCTCACGGTCACTGCCGCCACCTCCACGCCGCCCGCCGGGAGCGCGAGGGGGGCCTTCGGGTCCTGCGCGGCTGTCACAGCGGCAGGGCCTGAGGCCGGACGCCTCCCCCGTGTGCAGGTGCACCCAGGCGCCCCTCATGCCGCCGGCTGGGGCTCCAGGCCGGCCCTTGGCCTCTCGCCGCACCCCCTCGAGCTGGGGCCTGGCCAAGAAAATAGGACTGGAGGCAGAAGCGGGGCGATAGGAGCAGAGAGAGAGAGGGAGAGGGAAAGGGAGAGGGAGAGGGAGAGGCGGGAGGGGCCTGAAGGGGTGCGGCTCCAGGGCTGTGGGATGGAGGCGGAGGGCCGGCAAGGGGAGGAGCCTGTGGCGGCGGCAGAGGGCCAGCGGGGGCCGTACCTGGCGAGCGCAGCTTGGTCTGGCTGGCCGAGCGCGAGAGCGGCAGGCTCTGTCGGAAGCGGTTCATCCTGCTGAAACCCAGGGGCAGCTCGGCCTCCGACATGGTCTCCAGCGACTCAGCCGAGGCGTAGGACAGCTTGGCCGCCTGGTCTGCCAGCCCCGGCTGGGCTCCCTGAGTGTGACGTGAGCTGCGGGTCTGTAGGGGCAGGGGCAGGAGGGGAGGGGGGAGGGGAAGCAAGCCTAAGCCCTCCTCTGCTGGGCCAGGGGGCACGCCCACACATTCCCAGCAGGGTCCCCAGGGCTCCAGACTCGCTGTGTGGCCGGAGGGAGAGTCCCCCACCTCTCAGGGGCCCTGGGCTCCCCAGGGACAGCCAGCAGGTGTGCAGTGGGTAAAGGACCAGGGCAGGCACCCTGGGGATCCAGACCAGAAACCATCTGAGCGGGAGCCATGGGCACGCCTGCTATTTTAGGTTTCCAGAGAACAACACTGCAAATTTGTCTCCGAGGTGAGCAGCAGAATCATTGAGCAAATTGAGGCATTAGTTCCAGACATTAATTAAGCGGCGCATTTGTGAGCAGCAATTTAGTCTTCGTGGAGTTCAGAGGGTTTTGTTGGGGGGCAGGAAAGGGCCCGGGGGGGAGAAAGCAAAGAGAACACAGGACCCTGGGCTCCCAGCTTTGGGATATGTGGGCGCTCGCAGAGCTGGGCGCAGAGCCATTCATTTAGAATCACCGGGAAAACTATCCCGAGCCCCTCAAAGCCAGCCGGACCCCAGTGTTGAGCAGACGACCTGCGCAGCACACACAATGCGCATGCTAAGCCCGGTGAGCACGCCGCTCGTGTGCCAGGCCTCACCGCCCCCCACAAGCACATGCTGCCACACAACCCGCCGGCCCAGCTGGCCGCCCCCCAGGCCCGGCCTGACAGTCCCTTCTCTGAAGCTGACGGTGTGGTGCGGCTGGAGTAGGCGGGGATGTCACAGGCTGAGGCCTGGGGCTGTCGCTCAGGATCACAGCCCCTGTCATTCTGCCCGGGTCCCTCCCCGCAAACCTTGTGACTGCACAGAAACTCCTGACGCAATGGCGTATGGTAATTAACCACACCTGCAGCACTCTGTTAGGGCCACGACATACACAGGTTTTCTGTATTACATGTAGTATCAAGGAAAAATCATGTTGCCCAATTATATGTTTCTGTAACACAGTCTCTTTTTAACAAAAACAAATCACTCAAAACCATTAACATCGGTTTTTCTCAGGGTTGAGAGAGCTTTCTTACTTTCTACATTTCTGTACAAAATTGTATGAATTTTGCATAGAATATGTTACTTTTATCATTTAAAAGAGATAGTGATAAAAGTATCTCTTGAAAGGAATTCCTTCAACTCCCTCTTTCCCCAGATCCTAATTAACCCTTCATCTCCATCTTCGTAATAGCGCAGTTTAGTGTTCCAATTGGATTAGCTTTCTCAAAAAACGGAGAGCATCTTCCTGCAATGGCAGTGTACCCCGCGGTCCCCATGGTGACCTTGAGACCCTGGGGAGGCGGAAAGTCTGATCTGGGGGCTCCGCAGGGCTTCCACAATGCCTCGGCCAGGAGGTGAGCATGGCTCCTGGGAGGAGGGGAGCAGCACAGAACTGGATCCGCTGGGCGTGCTCGTGGCCGGACCTTAGAGCCACGGCTCAGCTCTGAGCAGGCCACCAGTGCCAGCCTGTGCCCCCTCTCTGGCCCTCAGCCCCAGCTGAAGGGCGGGGAGCTCCTGGGCAGTGGGGAAAAGGTCTGGTCTGGTGGTCATGGGGTTGCCAGGCAACTGAAAGGTCAGTGTTTCCAGGCTGGTGTGCCAGGATGAGGCAGCAGCAGGGATGCAACGCAGGTGGCGGCCACAGTGCCAGGAAGGGACACAGTGAGGTCGCAGCAAGACGATGGAAGAGGGATCGATGCTATGGTCCCCACAGGCACCTGCCGCCTGCAGTGCCAGCATCCCATATGGGCGCCGGTTCGAGTCCTGGCTGCTTCACTTCCAATCCAGCTCTGCTATGGCCTGGGAAAGCAGTAGAAGATGGTCCAAGTCCTTGGGCCCCTGAACCCGCGTCAGAGACCCGGAAGAAGCTCCTGGCTCCTGGTTTCAGATCAGCCCAGCTCTGGCCATTGCGGCCATTTGGGGAGTGAACCAGCGGATAGAAGTCACCACCACCCCCCATCTCTGTAACTCTGCCTTTCAAATAAATAAATAAATCTTAAAAAAAAGAAGAAGAAGAAGGAGGAGGAGGAGGAGAAGGAGGCGAAGCTGCATGAAGGAGAGCAGGGCTGCGCTGCTGAGGAGGCAGGAGCCAGGTCCCCACGCCCTGCTCTGTCCTGGCCCCACGGCACCTTCCCGTCCCCACAGCTTTTACAGAAACTTCCTGGAGAAGAGGGAAAGTCCATTCGCACCCCTTTCCATCCCCGGACTGGGGGCAGAGGAAAGTCAGACACCTAGAAGACTTCCTGACCGTGAGGGAGACAGCAAGAGAAGAAACCAGAGCCCTGGGGGGGCCGGAGCCCCTGCCGCCAGAGGGGCGACTCCTGCCCAGGAGGTGCAGGCAGAGGAACCGTGGCTGGGGCGCTCACACCTGGCTCTGAAGAACCTCCTGGAGCCCTTGGAAAGTTCTTTCAAAGACCCCGCTTCTGCCAAACCAGGGGGCCAGGGCCTGGGTTTCAAGGTTTTTGACAAGTTCCCGAGGGGCTCTGAGTTTCCAGGTCTGGGACTCGGGCCAGCACCCATGACTGGCAGCTGTGACGTTAGTTACCCTGTGGGGCTCACTCCAAGCCGGACACGGTGCCCAGGGCATGCATCCTATCTCCACAACCACTCCACCACGCATTGTCCACTTCACAGAGCAGAAGCCGCCCGGAGGATGACAGACCTTTCCTGGGACTCCATGCTAGGGGCAGGGGACAGGAATTCACCCCCAGGCAGCCGGGTCTGGGCTCAGGCATGGGACTCCACACCCTCCTGCCTCCTCCGTAGCGGCTACAACTGGTGCCATTGAGTCCCTACTGCGGTGCCCTGCAGAAGGCATGCCAGCAAGACGCTCGGGGCCGTGCCTCCCACCCCCAGGAACGAAGGCCGGGAGAAGAGGGGCTCAAGGGGCTGGAGACGCTGGTGCGAGAGCAGCAGTCTCACTCGGTCGCTCAGCCTTGAGCCTGCACGCCAGGCATGATGAAGGAGATGTGGAGGGAGCTCCCTGGGGTCAGCAGGGCATCATTGGCAGGGTGGGGGGACACAGCTCTGAGCTCTGGACAAGCCCAACTCCAGAGGAAGCAGGGGGGCCCCTCAGAGCTCAGCCCTCCATTTGGACAACAGGTTTGGGGCTGCAGGGCCCTAAATCTCTTTCCTGGCACTGACCAGCTGCCGTCACCTCATGGTGAGGAGTTTAAAGAGGGAGTCACAGGGATTGGTGTGAAGCCACCACTTGGCACACTGGCATCCCATATCGGACTGCTGGTTCAAGTCCCAGCTACTCTACTTCCGATCCCACTTCCTGGTAACGTGTGTGGGAGGCAGCGTGTGATGGCTCAAGTGCTTGGGCCCCTGCCACCATGTGGGGGACCTGGATGGAATTCCTGGCTCCTGGCTTTGGCCTGGCCCAGAGCTGGCTCTGGGGATCATTTGGAGGGTGAATCAGAAAAGGGAAGATCTCTCTCTCTCTCTCTCTCCCTCTCCCTCTCCCTCTCTCTCCCCCCTCTCTCCTTCTCTTTTGTTGCTCTGCCTTTCAAATAATTAAGTCTTTTCAAAAATAAATAAAAAAGGAGTGCCAGGGCCCATCTGGGAGGTGAAACTCGAGTTCAGAGAACAAGGCCCTGAACAGGATCATGAATTCTGGTCCCTGCATCAGAGCCAGCAATGTCCTCAGGCTGGGGGAAAGGTCAGGGAGCCCCTCGAATTCCAGAGAGCCCCTGGTGGGCCGAGAAAGCCTGGGCGTGGAGCATCTCAGCCCACACCTCCAGCAGGGGTGGCCCAGACTCCCACTCTGGATCCACAGGCCCCTGGCAGGTGCACCCCAGCTTCTCCCAAAGCAGCAGCCTCAGGCCCAAGGCCCATGGCCGTACCAGCTGGTGTCCGTGCAGACGCGTGCCCCGGTGCAAAGCATGTGCAAGGGCGGGGCAGGGGCAGAGGAGGGAGCGCACATGCAATGTCACGGCAGCAGAAGCATCACACACTGACCTTGAAACTCCAGTAGTTTGGCTGCTGATGGAAATAAGAGAAGAAATGGTTATGAAGGGGCTTGAGAGGGGAAAGAGGGGCAGGGGTGGGTTAGAGACCCTTGGGTCTCAGTGCTCAGCCCTGGGACATGGGCCCTCTACCCTTCCGGGAACAGGAAGTGATGCCTAGTACCTCTCCTGAGACCTGGAACACCCTGCTGCAGGCTCCAGGCTTGCTGGCGGGGGCAGGAGAGAGCAATCCAGATGTTTGCAGGCCACACATGCTAACTGCAGTAACTGCCCCCAGAGAGTTACAAGTAGGACAAGGCATAGATGACCACGTCTGGGGAACCCCCGAGACACAGTGAAAATGGAGGCGGCGATAAATCAGAGCTGGAGGGGTCAGAGAGACGGCGCTGGCTGTGGCTTGCCAGGGAAGAGTTCCAGGAAGAGGCAGCATTTGAACTGGGTTTCCCGGGAAATGTGCAGCTGGAGCCTGGGAGGAAAGGCGTGCTGAGCACGGGCGCGCACGGGGCAGACAGGCGGGGGCGTGTTGAGCGGTCGCCAGCCCAGGGTGGCCAAGGTGCAGCCTGGGAAGCAGCAGATCAGGCTACAAAGCGGGCTGAAGCCAGACAATGGGTAGCCTTGAATGCAGAGAAAGTATTTAGCCTGAGTTGGGTGGACAGACAGAGCATGTGCGTGGAGCAGCATGGGATCAGAACGGGACCCCAGCAAGCCTGATGTGGCGGGGAGTGGATGAGGGAGGCCGGGGGCCAAGGCGAGGCTGGGGCAAGGAGGCCTGGATCATGCCAGGAACCGCGCAGCCCTGGCCAACGGAGGGGAGCAGCGGGGAGCCCGGGACCCTGCGCATGGCCCCGTGGCCGGATAGGTGATAGAGACGGGTGGGTGGTCCGGTGGCTCCTCATTCACAGTAGCTTGGAGCTGCTCTGCCTTCCCAAGAGACCAGAAGGCCTTTGCAGATGGCTGGGGACAAGGAAGGGACAGCTTTGGCTCTTGGCAAAGCTGAGGGCACCCTGCTGACCGGTGCCAGCCTCCGCGGGAAGACAGAGGCAGCAGATGGCCTGGCCCTGGGGTGCCTGGCACGAGCAGACCAGATTCCCCAGGCCTCAGAGCCACTGGCAAGAGGGGAGGGACATCCAGGGTCCCCAGTGGGGGTAAGGACACCGCGCCAGGGAGTCCTAAGCCACCCGGATGTGTTCACAGCAGGGAGGAGTTGGCTCAGGCTGAGGGGAGGGGCACGGCTGGATGGAGACTTCACCTGAGGTGCCTCTTGGTGTGGGGGGAGAGTCACATGCCTGGACTACCCCCACCCGCGCCTCAGTCCCCAGCTCTGGCTTGGAAAGACAACAGAACAGTCATGAGCGAGGCAGAAGGGGACAGCAACGTGTGTAGCCCAGCCAGCTCCTGGATCATCAAGGCACACAGGCCACCCTGTGGTGCCGGAGGATGCCCACAGGTGCTGAGGGGAGGGAGAGTCTGGGCTAGCAGGCGCTAGCCACAGCTGTCTGTGGCCTTGGAAAGGAGTGGACAAGTGGGGACAGGCGGAGGGCACCACAAGGTTTATGACGGTGATGGACAGCCCCGCAGAGAAGGCCCACTGCCACCACCCTCACACGGGGCACGGGTGGTGTACTGGGCCACCCACAAATCCCCAGGACACACGGCTCCCAGGCGCATCCTCAGCAGAGACATCACAACCCACTCACAGGGCAGCCAAAACACGCCCACCAAGGGGCACGAGCAGAGAGCTCTCTGCAGCCACCAGAAAGCAGAGATGCCCCTGCACAGACCACGCCCACTCACAGGCCCACCCACCCCACCCTCAGAGATCCCAAGCATTCTGGTAGGGGCCACACCCGGCCACAAGCACACCCTCAATCCCACCCACAGAGTCAGTCACACACAGACAGGGACACCGTTCACACGGACACACACAGTGCAGCGCACGCGAGCGGCCCAAACAACCCAGCTCCTACCAGCCAGGTCAGGGGACCCCAGCCACCTTAACCACCATCCCATGCCCGTGATGCCCCAGACATCCTGTGTCAGAGAGGTGACCTCTTAACTCAGAAGAGGCAGAGATGTCCTACCGCCCCCCCCCCCCCAACTTCGCCACCAACGTTAAGTCGAACTCTGGGACCTTGGACTGGGAGGGAGCTGGGGGAGAGGCCTGGCTACAATCCCACCGGCTATGCCCTCTCAATCAGGGCCTGCCCCCGGGGCCCCCAAGGCATGCACTTCCATGGGACAGTCACTAGTGTGGACTCGGTGGCACCAGTGTCATGGGAGAGGCCAGTCAAGCCCCCAGTGCAGGGGGGAGAGGGAGGAGCAGCTGTGCCAGCGGCACTTGGGGCACTGGGATGCACGAGCGAGGCTGCGAGTTCCCAGGGCCCTCTGGCTTGGATCTGTGTGATTGCTGCCCCCTCTGCCCTCCCACCGCCCTCCAGAAAGCAGGAGACCGCTCCTGTCACACGGGCCACCAGGAAGGAGACCCAGGCTCCAGCAACTCCACATGCTTGCAGGGGGATGCCAGAGTGGTAGGAGGTCCACCCCTCCCTGTCTCTCTCTCTCGGGCTATTAAGCCTGTGGGCAGCCCTGGGCAGCTGACAGCACAGGGCTCCTCCCCTGCCTCTAAGGTGCGACCCTCCCAGTCACTGCCCATCCAGCTCCCAGGACCCTTTTCCTGGTCCCCTGGTCCCCTACAGCAGGTAGGGCCTGGTAAACAGCAGGTACATACAGTCCAATAGGACCTGCCCAGGGAGGAGGGAGCGTCTCCAACCGCCCAGCCTTCAGCGCCCTTGCCCTGGCGATTTCCCGGCACCAGCACCCCCTCCCCCAAGGAGGGCAGAGGGCACAAAGGGACCCAGAGAGATCTGGCTCCCCGCCCCGAGCAAAACCCTCCACTCCGGGGCCGCGCTGGCTCTCTCCCCAGCACCCCGACAGCAGCGAGCCCGAGACAGCAGCAAGGGTTAAGCAGCAGAGCCCCTGCCTGGGCAACCACTTGTGGGGAAGCGGCTCACGGGAGTGGGCAGCCGAGAGGGCTGGAAGAGGCCAAGATGGAAGGCGGCCTCCCGGGGGACTGGGCTCTCAGAAACCGGGGAGGAGGAGCTTCTGCCGGGATCCAGGAAGCCGCAGGGAGCCCTCATCTCCCCAGTGGGAAGACGAAGCGGCTTCTCCCCCGCGCGCCGGAGCCGCTAACTCCTTCCCTCTCCCCCTACCCCAGCCCTCCGGGAGCCAGCCGGGGTCTCCCCTCCGCCGGGTAGGCGAGCGCGTAACCCCTCCTTGACCTCGAGCCCCGACGCCGCAGCCTCCTCGGGGAAGCAGAACACCCTGAGCGTCCGCACCCCGGCTCCTGGATCCCCCGGCTCGGCGCGCACCGGCGCACACACCCACCTCCCGGCTCCGGTGAACACGAGTCCGCGTAAACACCCGCCCCCAGGCTGGGGCGACGCAACGCGCCCCCGCGAGCGCCAGCCTCCCGCCTGGACGCACACGCACGGCCCTCCCCAAGGTGTGCGGATCCTCACCCTCACCTCCTAGCCCTACCTTCCTACTGCGGCGCGGGCCGGGGGGAGGGGCTGCTGCGGGCCCCGCGGCGCCGGGGGCGGGGGCGCACCCCAGGAAGGTCATGACTTTCGCCGTTGGGGGAAGGGGCGCCTGCCTGCCGCATTTGGGATGGGGACCCGGCCCTCGTGGAAGGCACCTCATGCGGTGGGGGAGGGGAGGGGGCGTTTCTCAGGGATCGGGAACACGACACGGCCTGCGCGCCCCCCAGCCATGGACTGCCCCTCGGGGCCGCGGAGGGGACCTCCCCACCTCCGTGTCCGCGCCCCCCGCAGAACTCAAAGCGACGACGGCCCCCACAGGCCCTCACATCCGTTCCCCCCTTACCTGCGGCCACAGGTGTACGCGGGGAGAGCCCAGCCCCCGGTCCGCGTCGGGCGGGGGAGGGAAGGCGGCCCCCTACTCCCACCCTCTCGGGCGCTCCCCTCCCCCGGCCGCCTCCGCAGCCGCCGCCGCCGCCGCGGGTGCCCTTTGCTGCAGTGCGAGAGCGGCCGCCGCCGCCGCCGCGCCGGCCCGGGCCCCGGTCGCCCCGGTAACGGCGACTCCACCTGGCGCTGCGCGGCGCGCCGCCGTGCACATCCCCTCTCCCGGGCCCCTCCCCCGGCGCGGCCCCGCCGAGGAGCGGCGGCGGCTGGTGGCTGCGTCGCCGCGGTCACCCGATACGCAGGCCCGCCGCCCGGGACTCGGGTTGCAGTAGGAGGGAGGGAGGTTAGACCGCCTAGTGGAAGGGGGGGCCGGGGAGGAGGGACTATGGTGTGGCTCCAGGCTAACCTCTGGACGCCTCCCAGGGCCCTCTTCACTGCCCCATCCGCAAAGGTCTGGCCTGGCGGGGCATGAGAGAGAGGACGGGTCCTGCCTCCTGCCCTCCACTGCCCCTGTGGAGCCCACAGCCTCTCCTCGCAGCTCTGCCCCTTTAACTCTCTGCAGCCCAGTCTGGGAGGCCTAGGATGCCTCCCTGATGGCTCTGATCCGGCCCTGCTGTGTGACCCTGGCCTTTGCTGGGAGTCTCTGGTCCTTCTCTTTACAAAAAGGAACCTGCCGGGGCTGGCGCTGTAACACAGGAGTAAAACCTCTGCCTGCAGTGCGGGCATCCCATATGGGTGCCAGTTCAAGTCCCAGCTGCTCCACTTCAGATCCAGCTCTCTGCTATGGCCTGGGAAAGCAGCAGAAGATGGCCCAAGGCACCTGCATGGGAGACCCAGAAGAAGCTCCTGGTTCCTGGCTTCGAATTGGCGCAGCTCCAGCCCTTGTGGCATTTGGGGAGTGAACCAGCAGATGGAAGACCTCTCTCTCTCTCTCTCTCTCTGCCTTTCAAATAGATAGATAAATCTAAAAAAAAAAAAAAAAAAAAAGGAACCTGCCATTCAGCGCTGGGGGCAGGAAGTGAGGTCAGCTCTGAGAGCCAGTGATGAAAGATCCTGTGCACAGTCCCTCTCCCAGCTTGTCACAGAGCCCTGAGGCCGCGGCCCCTCCCGCTGGCCTTCCTCCATCAGAGCGGACTCCAGATGTGGGTAGGCCTGGGCCTCACCACCTCTGGGAAGACTGAGCTCACCAAGTCCATCCTCATTCCCGTCCGGCACCCCAAATCTATCACAGCCCCAAGGTCTCTACCTGGGGAAGAGCTCAGGCCAGCCCCAGGCACCCTGAACCTGCCTGTGTTCACGGCACCTGTCCTCTGCCCCACTGCCTGCCTCGCTCCAGCCCCCCCCCCCCCATGGCCTCCGCCATGCACCTGCTCTGCCCTCTAGCCTGCGGGACAGACTCATCCCAGTTCTGCAAAGTTCAGCCAAGACGGGGCTGGGAGCCGGGAATGGGAACGAGCTGAGTGCCCGCTGAACGATGCCAGTGTGCCAATCTGTTGTTAGACTTGGGTTACACTCGGCTGAGCCCCGTGCTCTGGGGGCCTGTCATTTCTGAGACAATTGCAATTTCCTTTCTCTCGATTCCCCTTGAAGAAGTCAAGTGCTGTCCTCCAGAGGCGCGGGTGCTGGAGAGCCTGGCACTCTTGCTACCGGCTGGCGTCCCAGGCCACTGCCCTGCCCCCGCCTCCTACCAGCCAGACCCCCGCGGGCTGCCCCTGCCCACTGCCACTCTGACTCAGGCTCTCTCCTCCCCGTCGGGGGGCTCAGATGCCTCATTTTTCTCCCACACTGATGCCCAGGTCCAAGCTGGGAGCCCAGCCCCTCGTAGTCTGTCTAAGTGTGCCCCTGCCTCTACTGAGACTTATCTTCCCACGGGGGAAACTGAGGCTTGGTGAGGGAGCAGTCCAGCAAGCCTTTCTCAAAACGGGGAAGCAGGCCTTGAACACAGCAAGAGGGCTGGGAGAGAGACACCACGCCGAACTTCCTGAAGAGAAGCCTTCGGGAGAGCTGGGGGCTACTCAGAGGCGGAGTGGGGTGCAGCCAGGGAATAAGATGGCCTGTGATGAGGACATAAGAGACCCCAAAAACCCACAGAGCACAGCAGGGCTTCTCCTGCTTAAAGGAGAAAGGGGTAACTTTTTTTTTTTCAAATCCTGGGTATCCTTTTCGAACAGTTCCACTCTCAAAGCTAGCCAGGTTTGGGGAGGCAGTGCTAGGGCCTGGACAATCAGGGGACAGAAGTCTAGGGCACAGAGACTTCTGGAATTTCTACATGAAAGAGAAAAGGATGCAAAATAAAAATCCTGACTATCCCCCTTCCAAAAAAAAAAATCCTCCCCACAGCCGAACTCTGCCGTGGGTTTGGGGGTGGGGCGGAGGTGGGTGACTCACCTGGGCCGGCTGGCCAGCCCCGGAGGGGGCGGAGTCGCCATGGAGGTGGGAGCAGAGGGAGCTGAGGAGGCAGACGGGGTCCACGGTCCAGCTGCCAACCTGTGTGTGTGAAGGGGGGACACCCCATTAGGGGGCGCGGGCAGGAGCCGCTGGGGCACGGTGCTGGGGCAGGGAGGGGCACTCCTGGGGCCCTCAGCGCGCAGCAGGTCTCTAACAGGAACCCTGTCTGTCTCTGGCTGTTTGTCTCTGCTGGGAGACCCGGCTCCCCCACCCGCCGCGGTGCCTGGCCCCTGCCCCCAGCACTGGAGCTGCTCCTGCCTCCCCTTTCTGACTCTGCACGCCCTCCTCACTGAGGTGGGCACCCCGGGCCACCACCGCAGCGCCCTGACTCGCTTCTACCCTGGGGGTCCTCCCCCGGCGACTCCAGGGTCTGCCCCCCACCTCCTCTTCACTCGTGCCTTCTTCCCCCAGTTACTGGGCCAGCACCAGGCTTAGGGCAAGGGAACCAGCTGTGGCTTTGCGGGCTTCCACACTGAGCGAGGGGTCGGATGTGTGACAGGAGAACAGTGGTCTGATGGTGAGTGTCTGTCTGTGCTCTGTAGTGGCGGGGAGCCCTCGGACATGCCCCCAGGAAGCTGCCACCCCAGCCGCCTTCATCTTCTGGCCAAATCTCCCCAGATGACAGGCTGTGGCCAGGGCTCCTGATTCCTCGCCCCTCCGCCAGCCCCCATCACTCCTGAAACTGGCCATTATTCTGCCACATCACAGGAAACAGCCTTGGGTCGCTGCTGTTGTGTAGTGGGTTAAGCCCTGGCCTGCAGCGCCAGCATCTCATATGGGTGCCATTCTAGTCCCGGCTGCTCCACTTCTGATCCAGCTCCCTGCTGATGGCCTGGGAAGGCAATGGAAGATGGCCCAAGTGCTTGGGTCCCTGCACCCACGTGGGAGACCCGGAGGAAGCTCCTGGCTTCAGATCAGCCCAGCTCCGGCCATTACGACCATTTGGGGAATGAACCAGCGGATGGAAGATCTCTCTTTCTCTCTCTGTAACTCTGCCTCTCAAATAAACCTTTAAAATAAACAAATCTTTTTTTTTTTTTTTAAAGAGTCTCCTTAGGGGTCGGCGCTGTGGCATAGCTGGTAAGCCACCGTCTGCAATGCGTGCATCCCATATGGGTGCCGGTTTGAGACCTGGCTGCTCCAGTTCCAATCCAGCTCTCTGCTATGGCCTGGGAAAGCAGTAGAAGATGACCCAAGTCCTAGGGCCCCTGCACCTGCATGGGAAACCTGGGAGAAGCTCCTGGCTCCTGGCTTCAGATTGGCACAGCTCCGGCTGTTGTGGCCATTTGGAGAGTGACCCAGTGGATGGAAGACCTCTCTCTCTCTCTCTCTCTCTCTCTCTCCTTCTCTGTAACTCTTCCTTTCAAATAAATAAATAAATAACTCTTAAAAAGAGAAAAACAGCCTCTCAGGACGCCATGCACCTACAGATCCTGCTGGGCCCCTCATCCCTGTAGACTCCGTGCGTGCAGGTCCCCCTCCTGCTGCCCCGACTCCAAGGCCTTTCCTCTCTGCCTCACAGGCTCTCTCAGCTTCTCAGCCCCCTCCGGCCTGCTGTCCACTCTCAGGTCCCAGCTCCCACTTCTCTGACTGTGCTCAGCCCTGAGCTGCATCCCTGGGAAAGCCTCCCCACGCCTCCGGCTCACCTCCCGTGTTCCGCTCCCGCAACCTCCTGGTTCTCTCCAAGGTGCCGACATCTCCCCGTCACCAGGTCCGTCTGGCCTGGCCTCCTGGATGCAGGAGCAGCAGCCCAGCTCAGTCTGCCCTCCACCCCTGTCATCCACTGCTTTCCTGTCCTCCCCTCCCCAACTCTCTCTGCCTCTTCTCCCTTTGCCTCCAGACTCCCTCCCCACTCCTCTGCACCACACAGAAACAGCCGTGGCTCTCCTAGCCACCACCAGCCGGCCCCTGCCTCCCACCCTGAGCCTTCTGCACCTTCTGTGTGGGCCCCAAACCAACTCTCTCTCTCTCTCTCTCTCTCTCTCTCACACACACACACACACACGCACGCACACCCCTCCAGAACATTCTCTTCCTCTGTGCCTGTTCAGACTTCATCCTTCTAAGCTTGGTGTGGGTACCTCCTCCTCCAGGAGGCCTTCCCTGATCAGGCCTGCACACCTGGTCTCCACTCCTCTAAACCCCTTCCTGACCAGACACCTTTCTCCCCAGGAAACTGACAAATGTCCCTGCCCCCTCCCCAAGCCAGAGCACACAGGAGGAACCACAGCCGGGGGAGCCCTGAGGGTGAGGGCCACATTCCATTTGCACCTCTCCCTTATCCTGGTCTGGACCCTGCAGGCAGGAGGATGCTGGGGCTGGAAAAAGGCCAGAGGCAGGCAGAACTGGAGGTGCATCGGGGCCATCGTAGGTACCAGAAATGTGCCAGTGTGTCTACTGAGGGTAGGCTGGGGGCTGCCTCCCGGTCCCTAGCCAACTCAGCAGTGCCTGGAAAAGGGAGACGCAGCCAGGCAGGTGTGGGAGCAGGGGCTGGCTCCCAAGGCTTGACGGACAGGATGCTGATGGGGCGAGCCCACCCCCACCCCCCTCTGCCGGAGGGCGCAATGCCGAGGCCCCCCCAGCCAAACACAGCAGCCACAGAGGCCCTTCCAAGAAAAACAGAACTTGCTCACAGGCGGAGACGCTCGGGCTTGGGTGGGCGATGCGCCCAGGAGCCCCTAGATCTGCGGGGCGGGGTTCAAAGGGGAAGCATCCCACCCTGGACGGCAGACAGCCCCACACCTCTCCAAGCCAAAGTCACCATAGGAGAGAAACCAGCACACAGAGGGGAGGCCTCCAGTTTAAAGTCACACAGCGAGTCTTGGGGAGTGGAGCAGGGAGGAAGAAGGTAAAAGCCCCCCCCCTCTTGGCTCTGTTCCTGCAGGGACAGGGGACCCATCAGAACCGACCTACCGCAGCTCCCAGGACCCAGCTTCTCAAGGCCCAGGTCACACGGGGCCACGCTGGGAGCAGTCAGTGCCCCCAGGCTGCCCTCTCCCTCCTTCCCTCCCTCCCAAGCCTTCCGGCCTTTCTTCTGTCCAAGCAGCCTGAGTTCCAGAGGTTGGGCCCCATGCTTATCACATGCTCCCAGCCCCAGGTAGCAGGCAGAGGCCTGGAGGCTGAGCCCATGCCCACTTCCACCCCAGGCTCCAAAAACGGCCAACTTGGGCCACTGACCGTAAGGGCCAGCCCCCCAGCTCTTCCCTGAACCCTCAGCCTCAGATGCCTCTGAATTCAGGGAGCCTGGGGGCTCTGGGAGCGCGGGCTCAGACTCCCAGCCCTGACCCTCCCCCGCACACCCCCACCGCGGCCGGACCGCACACTCACCTGCTCCCGCATCCTGTCCTGCTGGCCTCGCAGGGCCAGGGCGTGCTGCGGGTATTTGCTCTTCAGGTGGTCCATGAAGGCATCGCGCTTACGGTCCGCGTCTGCCTTCTGCAGCCCGCTGAGCGCCTCCAGGCTCTGGGCGGCGATCACCGTGTGCCGGCGCTCGGACGTGTGCACCAGCCCCACGTTGGAGAAGCGCCGGCCCCCGCCGCCCCCGCCGCCCCCGCCCCCCAGGGTCCGGTACTCCCGCGGGTACTCGGCATCGTCCGCAGACAGCATGGGGGGGCTGCTCCGCTCCGGATCTGCGGGAGGGAAGAGGACCAAGGAAGGGTCATGGCGCGCTCCGCGGGGGGCTGCCCTGCCCGTCCTGAGGCCCTGCGGGGAGGGGCCGGGCGGGCCTAAGGCGGGGCCGTGGGACCTGCAGGATGACGCGGGGCGGGCGGGAGAAGACTGGAGCAGGGAGGGGGTGGGAAGAGGGCCCCAGGCCCCAAAGGAAAGGAGGGGATCAAGGCAGGCTACCACTCCCGCTCCTTGCCATGGGCTGGAAGAGAGAAGGCCACAGTGGGGTCGGAAGGTGGAAGATGGACTCCCTCAGGCCACACCCCCAGCCCCCTTCCCAGAGCTGGAACACAGGAGCCAGCATTGCCTCCCTCTCCGAAGAGGGGCAGGGCCGGTCTCCTCTCTCAGACTAGTCTCCTCCACACTGGGCCTCCTCTCTCAGACTAGCCTCCTCCACACTGGGCCTCCTCTCTCAGACTAGCCTCCTCCACACTGGGCCTCCTCTCTCAGACTAGCCTCCTCCACACTGGGCCTCCTCTCTCAGACTAGCCTCCTCCACACTGGGCCTGGCTGGGAAAGGGGCCAGGGCCGGGAACCATGCGGGCAGTGAGGGCAGAGCTCTTCAGGATCCTGAAGAGAGGGGGCCCGAGGTCGGGCAGAGGGCCCGCTCCCCCTCCCTCCCCGAGACAGACAGGTGAACAGACAGGAGAGCTGGCACAGAGAGGACGGTGAGAGATGGACGGGGACAAACTTAAAGAAGGGAAAAAGCAGACAGAACAGGTCACCCCTTCGGTCCCCCTCAACACACACACACAAGCTCCAGACCCTAAGAGACGCACAGGGAACAAGGACAGTACAGAAGCGAAAAAAGAAGGCCGGGGGTGCAGGCCCCATGCGGAACTCTGGTTCCCATCCCCAGTTCCCCCCAGCCCCGAGCTCCTGGCCTCCCCGGGCCAGCCCTCACCCTCCAGCCCGAGAGTGCCCAGAGGTCCAAGAGGCCACCCACGCCGCCAGAGGGCGGAGGAGCTGGGGGCCTACCCCAGCCCTGTCCCTGTGCATAGAGCTGCCGTCTGCCACGCCGAGCAGTCACCGTCCTTGGGGGATGACAACATCTCCCTTGTACACCCCACCCCCACAACTACCAGCCGCTTGCAAGGCAGCAACACACACACACACACACGCGCGCGCGCGCGCGCGCGCGCAGCCTAGGCCAGAGCAGCAGGGACTGCAGTGGGCCCAGACACTGTCGCGCCCCACCTGCCGGACTCACGGAGGCGCCTCCAAGGGCTGACGGGGGACCAGGCTGGGAGTTCTGGAACCTAGCCGGGATGGCCGGTGCCCCTCCCCACTGCACGTACCCACTGCCCATCAGGCCGACTGCCAAGCCACTGTCAGCCCTGGCCAACCACAGGAGGAAAGAGGAGGTCCAGCCACACTTCAGGAAAAGGCGCCGCCAGCTTCACACGCACACACACGCACACGTGAACACACGCACACGTGAACACACACACACCCCTTCCTGGCCCGTCCATCTGGGGCGCAAGCCTCCCAACACGGCGGTGGGGTGGGAGTCGCTAGGATGGTCATTTCCCACGCGGTTCCTGAGACTCGGGGAGGAACAGGGCAAGCCCACGCCGTGGCTTCTGACCCTGGTATCTGTAGGTTTTGCGCCGCCACACCTCCCTCAACAGAAGACAGCTGCTGGTGAGCAGCCACGGGCAGTGCAAGCACGTCCCAGCTCCCCTGCTGCCCCCCCACCCGGGGCGGCTCCGGGGTCCCTCACCACCGTCATCGTCCTCTCTTGCTGTCCCCAAAGCCGGGTTCAGAGGCAAGCACTGAGTTCCAGGAGAACACTGCTTTGTTTGAGGGTTTAAGGAGTCTCGGGATTAGAACTCCTACCCAGAACGTCAGCACACGGACCTGGGAGATGCTGCTCCTCCGGTGCTAGCCACATAGGCAGCCTTTCAAGTTCACAGTGACTTAGTTAAGGGGGCAGGTGCTGCGTGAACACTGCCAGCAATCCCCTGCTGTGGAGGAACTCCGGGGCCGTCTGATGAGAGCCCAGCCACTGCCCTCGAGGGGCTGTGGCCACCCAAGGTGGCCGGTGAATGTGGCTGGACCCCAGCGGCTGCAGAGAGTGATCCAAATTATATACCCGGGAGAAGGCTGGGAGTGCTGGGAGCTGGAGAGAAGCCCCAAAGGCGAGGGCTGCCCTCGCCCCCTAGCCCCCTCCCCTCATGCCAGCCAGCCAGGCTCCCCACTGCCGAGGGCTTGGGCCACGTGGGTGCTGCTGGGGCAGGCTCCAGTTCTGTCTTCCGGACCCAAGAGGGGTTCCTGACCCTGTCTCCTGCCCCACAGGAGCCCTGGCACAGGCCCCTCCCTTTCTCCTGGGGTCTGCACGTCCCAGCACCCAGGGATCAGCTGGTGCATGGAGGCAGGCGGTTGCAGGGGGTCTGGGGTAGGAGCAGCCCTGTGTGCTTTGTGCTGCTGGCAGGGGAGAGGGAAGCAGGGACTAGCCCTCTCCCCCCTGCCGCTGGCTGCCGCGTGGACTTCAGGTGCCCAGGCACGGGGCAATGGGAGGGCAGGAGGTGAGTGCCGGGGGGTGCAGAGAGAGGAGGAAGCAGGAGAGGCAACGCATCGCCTCTGAGAGTTGTGGCTTCCATCTAGAGAGCTTGGGAATCGGTTTCCACCTTCAGCATCCTTGGTTTCGCTAAGAACAGGCAGCTGAAGCCCAGGAGAGGAGCCAGGGACTGGGTGCACGGGTGCCCCCATTCTCTCTGCAGGGCCATGCGGCCGCCCTCAGGAAACAGAGGCCGCCAGGGCCCTGGCCACTCAGGCACGGCTCAGCCTGCTGCAGGCTCTGGAGAGAACCCCAGGCTGGAGACGCCGGCTTCAGTCAGCTCCGCCCCGAGGGCCCCAGGCTGGCCATTCCCGCAGGCAACAAAGCCCCTTCCTCCTGGGAGCTGCCCAGGACCGGATCTGTAACAAGGGGGCATTGAACTCTAAACCCTTCCCAGGGCACGGAGGCAGAGGCTGGGCTGGGCTGGGCCCCCTCAAGTGCCAGCCACCAGCAAGTTCTGAAGAGGCCTGGACCCTCCCCCGATCGGCAGCCCAGGGACAAGCCCAGAGATCCTCTGGGAGGCTGCAAGAGACAGGAGCCGCATGGCCGCTTCTGCTCATGGCGGGGGAGGGTGGTGAGATCCTGGCTGGGCTTTTCAGCGGGGCCCTAGTGTGGGAGCGGTGTGGGGACTGCAGGGCTCTGAAGGAGAGAGGCAGAGGCAGGGAACTCTGGGAAGCAGAGCTGGGGTACACTCGGGGAGCCAGAGAGATAAGGGAGGGGCTGCGAGGGTTTCTCTCCAAGGACCCACCATGTGCAAGGCTCTCCGTCAGACTCAAAGCTACAGGGAACACACCGGGGGCTGGCGAAATTCAAACACAGAAAGAGGGAAAGAAAGGGTGCAGAAGGGGGCTCTGTCCTGCTGGGCTCAGCCTCGCCCACCTGGGAAACCGAGAAGGTGACTGGGGTGCCGGGAAGAGGCTGGCGCCCCCTGGTGGCCAGCCTGAGATAACGGCGCAGGTGCTTGGAGAGGGACATGATTTGTTCAAGCAACGCTAAATTCCACGTTTATTTATGAGCCCGATTTATTTTTATCCGCACTGCATTCTTTTACTTGATGTCACTGGAACTCTTTATGAAAATTAAGCCCCAAGGGATTGATGACACCATCGCATGAGGCATCCAGCCTGCTCCCACCTGGCGTCTACCCCAGATGTCACCATCGACTCTGTCCTCAGCCTGCCGCCACCACCGGACAACATTCACACATGACATCATCTGCTGGGGGAGAGGGTGGGGAGAAGAGGAGAGGGAGGGGAAGGCAGAAGAGACAAAGAGGAGTAAGTGGAGGGGAAAGTGAAGCCACAAACCTGGGAAAGGCAGAAGACCTTGGGGGGGGGGGCCCTGCTGGCAGCCCTTGGCCAACCCCAAGCTCAGGCCCTGCCTCCCTCCCAGTGGAGATCTGGAAGCCAGGCGAAGTCCCTTCTTTGGGGACCTGAGAGGCTGACACACAGGTGCCCCCTGCTATCAGGCCAGGGCAGAGGTTGGAGCCGGGCTGCAGCCCCAGCAAAGGGAGGGCAGGGAGTGCAGCTATAGGAGCCTGCGGGCCCTGGGACTGGCAGGGCAGGGGAGCTGTGCGTGGGCGTTGTTGGGAGAAGGGTAGAGGGCCTGCCTCAGCCCCAGAATGCCTTGCACGTGCGCACACAGGCAAGCACTTGGCACAAGGTCCCCAGGCCCACTCTGCAGTCACGGCGCGAGGAGCCCGAGTCACCCAGGAGCAGCCCCGAGGCGCTGCCACCAGCAATTGTGCCTGATGACTCCATCCTGCTGGGCACCTGCTGCAGTCCCAAAGAGCACCGTGCTTGGAGGTCAGAGGCCACAGGGCAGAGGTCGACAAGGGGCCAAATATGACTCAGAGGCTCTGCCAAATATGGCAGAGGCTCTGGAAACCTGCAGCCAGGGAAGGACGCAGCATCTGTCTTGGGTGCCCTGGCTCTGTGTTGCCCCATGCCCGTGCCCTGGTCCCCGCTGTCTGTCTGCGGGCCTCGGCGCAGAAGCCCCTCTGTGTCTGTTTTCTAAAGCCATCTTTCCGCCCCATCCCACAGCAACCAAAGTCATTTTCCGGGCAATTGCCTTTCTGTAAACATGCCTGTGTAATATCCCCCCAAATTGCTAATGCCCAGCGCCCTGTTGAGTCTCCCTGTCACTCCAACAAGAGCCTCAGAGGCGGGGGAAGAGGGAGGCAGCTGGGCTAAGGAGCAGGGGCAGGGACTTGCTGTGCGTCCCTGCTGGGGACAGGACCCCATGCACCTGCCCCCCCCCCCCCCGCAGACTCCCTTGGGAATGCCTGTCTGGGATGAGAGGGAAGAGAGCAGGAAAGGGGAGGCAGCAGATAGGGCAGACGGCCCGGCAGCCAGGGTGACCTCCTGCTGACCTGGGGCAGAGGCACCAAGGAGGTGGGCAGGG